ACGTTGAGAGAAAAACACAGCCTGAGACTGAATATGTCAAACACGTTGAGAGAAAAACACAGCCTGAGACTGAATATGTCAAACACGTTGAGAGAAAAACAGCCTGAGACTGAATATGTCAAACACGTTGAGAGAAAAACACAGCCTGAGACTGAATATGTCAAACACGTTGAGAGAAAAACAGCCTGAGACTGAATATGTCAAACACGTTGAGAGAAAAACACAGCCTGAGACTGAATATGTCAAACACGTTGAGAGAAAAACAGCCTGAGACTGAATATGTCAAACACGTTGAGAGAAAAACACAGCCTGAGACTGAATATGTCAAACACGTTGAGAGAAAAACACAGCCTGAGACTGAATATGTCAAACACGTTGAGAGAAAAACACAGCCTGAGACTGAATATGTCAAACACGTTGAGAGAAAAACAGCCTGAGACTGAATATGTCAAACACGTTGAGAGAAAAACACAGCCTGAGACTGAATATGTCAAACACGTTGAGAGAAAAACAGCCTGAGACTGAATATGTCAAACACGTTGAGAGAAAAACACAGCCTGAGACTGAATATGTCAAACACGTTGAGAGAAAAACACAGCCTGAGACTGAATATGTCAAACACGTTGAGAGAAAAACAGCCTGAGACTGAATATGTCAAACACGTTGAGAGAAAAACAGCCTGAGACTGAATATGTCAAACACGTTGAGAGAAAAACAGCCTGAGACTGAATATGTCAAACACGTTGAGAGAAAAACACAGCCTGAGACTGAATATGTCAAACACGTTGAGAGAAAAACAGCCTGAGACTGAATATGTCAAACACGTTGAGAGAAAAACACAGCCTGAGACTGAATATGTCAAACACGTTGAGAGAAAAACAGCCTGAGACTGAATATGTCAAACACGTTGAGAGAAAAACACAGCCTGAGACTGAATATGTCAAACACGTTGAGAGAAAAACAGCCTGAGACTGAATATGTCAAACACGTTGAGAGAAAAACACAGCCTGAGACTGAATATGTCAAACACGTTGAGAGAAAAACACAGCCTGAGACTGAATATGTCAAACACGTTGAGAGAAAAACAGCCTGAGACTGAATATGTCAAACACGTTGAGAGAAAAACACAGCCTGAGACTGAATATGTCAAACACGTTGAGAGAAAAACAGCCTGAGACTGAATATGTCAAACACGTTGAGAGAAAAACACAGCCTGAGACTGAATATGTCAAACACGTTGAGAGAAAAACAGCCTGAGACTGAATATGTCAAACACGTTGAGAGAAAAACAGCCTGAGACTGAATATGTCAAACACGTTGAGAGAAAAACAGCCTGAGACTGAATATGTCAAACACGTTGAGAGAAAAACACAGCCTGAGACTGAATATGTCAAACACGTTGAGAGAAAAACAGCCTGAGACTGAATATGTCAAACACGTTGAGAGAAAAACAGCCTGAGACTGAATATGTCAAACACGTTGAGAGAAAAACACAGCCTGAGACTGAATATGTCAAACACGTTGAGAGAAAAACAGCCTGAGACTGAATATGTCAAACACGTTGAGAGAAAAACACAGCCTGAGACTGAATATGTCAAACACGTTGAGAGAAAAACACAGCCTGAGACTGAATATGTCAAACACGTTGAGAGAAAAACAGCCTGAGACTGAATATGTCAAACACGTTGAGAGAAAAACACAGCCTGAGACTGAATATGTCAAACACGTTGAGAGAAGAACAGCCTGAGACTGAATATGTCAAACACGTTGAGAGAAAAACACAGCCTGAGACTGAATATGTCAAACACGTTGAGAGAAAAACAGCCTGAGACTGAATATGTCAAACACGTTGAGAGAAAAACAGCCTGAGACTGAATATGTCAAACACGTTGAGAGAAAAACAGCCTGAGACTGAATATGTCAAACACGTTGAGAGAAAAACAGCCTGAGACTGAATATGTCAAACACGTTGAGAGAAGAACACAGCCTGTAACTGAATATGTCAAACACGTTGAGAGAAAAAAACAGCCAGAGACTGAATATGTCAAACACGTTGAGAGAAAAACACAGCCTGAGACTGAATATGTCAAACACGTTGAGAGAAAAACAGCCTGAGACTGAATATGTCAAACACGTTGAGAGAAAAACAGCCTGAGACTGAATATGTCAAACACGTTGAGAGAAAAACAGCCTGAGACTGAATATGTCAAACACGTTGAGAGAAAAACAGCCTGAGACTGAATATGTCAAACACGTTGAGAGAAGAACAGCCTGAGACTGAATATGTCAAACACGTTGAGAGAAAAACAGCCTGAGACTGAATATGTCAAACACGTTGAGAGAAAAACAGCCTGAGCAACATGTGGAAATATGTCAATAGGGTTATGAGAGAACCATAGCTTGGATATATGAAGGGATCCATAGCATAATCAGTTGCGGTGCATTGCACGTTTGCAACACCGACTCTACTCTTAGCAAGAGTTGCAGAAACCAAGGACGTTTGATAGACATATGTAGCGAGTATCTCGCGATCATTATATTCTTAAAAATAAAACGGCGAAACAAATCTTAAAGCAAGTTCGAATTTGTAAATATCTGCATGTAAGTTTATATATTATATGTTCAGGATGTACTTGTGATATCTGCTTGCAGCTGAAATGTCTTCAGAATAATATGGAAAGGGTTTTGTCCTTTTTATCTATCAAGGCTGCCTGTAAATAATCGAGTCTGGATCAGACGAACCAGTGATTGAGTTTGGAACTTTTAGTGAATAAGGGTAGTGGTGACATTTTGAGTACATCATGGATTTGTTTGTTTGTTTGTTTGGCCACATTATGAGAATACGTATCCTCGAGAGATACGCAAGCAATTGCAAGAGTGGCTAGGTTTGCTTTACTCCGCTTGCAGCAATATTCCAGCAACATCACTGCGGAGGACACCAGAAATGGGAATCGAACCCGGGTCTTCGGCGTAAGGAGCGAACGCTTAAACCACAGCGCTACCAGACCGCCCCTAGCTACTGAAAGAAATAACCCCAGTGACGGCAGCCAGTGAAGAGAAGGATGAGATATGACGTACAACACACCATGCCTTGTGGTAGGCACTGATAATCAATGAAATACAAAACACAAACATTTGTCCGCTGAGAGTGTATGTAAAACTACATCATTCAGAGTATATGTGATAGTTTACTGTCCGTCGTCGATAGGATATATGTAGCTCATTATGTCAATATATATATATATATAATTGTGCTGTATAACTTATTCTAGTCATGAGAGGGCGGAAAATGTACACATGTGACTTTCAATTTTCACTCGTTCACTCCCACTCACTCACCCACTCACATTTAAAAGCAAATATGTTCTCAATATACATAAACATGCATATAATTCGGCAACTGGTTCGATATCCTTTGTATAACCAACGCAAAAAAGTAACTGTGCTTTATATGAAACTAAATAAGGCATCGTTCAATAAATGTTCATGAAGACATCTCCTCGACTCTAAGGTCGCGATTCACAATTTGCACCTGCATTGTTATGCTCCGTGCATAATTTGGATGTTAACTTGTTTGTTGGGAGCATGATACTCACACACGTGAATGTGAACAGCACACGATGATTGTTTAGCTATCAGGTGGTAATTAACCATTTTGGTTTAACCGGACAAAACACTTTCGCAATGCCAGGGTTTGCTGAAAATAAAAGACATTTGACAGTTCATCTATTTGTAGACGTAATCTACAGCAGGCAACATTCATAACAACCATATTCGGGTGGTGAATCTACGGAATCGATACCAAAACTGCCACATTAACAGCTCGGAAATGCCTGGGATGAGACCAATTCGTGGCATAACCGTACGCAATCGATAGAGGGAGCACAACTTTCGGCTCATATATCCAGTGATACACCCAGTTCTGCTTCCACGTCAAGGTCTGGCACGCCAGGGCGGTCGGGTAGCCTAGTGGTCAAAGCGTTCGCTCGTCACGCCGAAGACCCGGGTTCGATTCCCGACATGGGTACAATATGTGAAGCCCATTTCTGGTGTCCCCCGCCGTGATATTGCTGGAATATTGCTAAAAGCGGCGTAAAACCATATTCACTCACTCACTCACACTGGCACGCGAAGCGTCTGAGACTCAGAAGACAAGGCCGGGACACATTCGTGACCAACTCGTGTTATTCCGGGACAAGCCGAATAGCGACTCGTGCCCCTCTCGTGGCCATTTTTGCGACCGGGTTCCGTCTTAGCGCAAACGGGCATACCTAAAACAATTGTCAACTCGTTGCGTAATGTTTCACATATATGTCCCCATATATTATATATATTTCAGATGCAATTTAAAGCACATCGGGACATGCGGAATTATACAGTATGACTGAACACATTTAACTGTGTCTTGGGTATATTTTTAGATGCAAGACATATTTAAAATCATAAATTGTTTCTGAGGGATTCTTTGACGAAGAACTTGAAACCATACGCGCATTCTGATTGGTTTGTCGTATTTTCGCACATAACATTCATCGATAGGGGGACGAGTCTTCTTGCAGGTTACGGAAAGGGGCGAGTGGTGACGAATGGGCCGGGACAGTGTACTGTTCACAGATGAGTCCAGGTTTCCTCCGGACACTTCTGATGGTCGTGCAAGGATATACATGCGTCCAGGAGAAACTGTTATCGACGCTTTCGTTACTCGTTATTATATGTGTGATATGGATAGCCAATTAAAGAAATGAATCAATTGTTCCCCTCCTCGCCCCTTGTACCTATTATTGTTGTTGTTGCTGTGGTTTTTATCGTCGGCGTCATAATTTTCTTCATCAGTTTCATTATTATGATGGTGATTAGTATCAATAGTACTCGTATTAGTATTCCCTTTAAAACGTCGGTTATTTACCATGAGAAACCTCAAACATCCTCTAATTCCTCTATCACAGGGGGCCGTCCGAAAACTCATAAGTATGAATATCAATTTGCAGAACGTAGCCGAGATGGCCTTCTCCTGCTTGATTCTAGCAGTGCTCCTGTCTTGTGCCATTCCGTCTTGTGAGGGTAAGAGTCTTGAATTGAGTGAGTGAGTGAGTGTGTATTTTACGCCGCTGTCTTTGCTACATGCCACCAGCAATGCGTTTGACACGTCGTACTCATGTGGGGAATCAAACTAGATTTTCGGCGTGATAAGCGAAAGCTGTAATAGCTAGGCCACCCCTCCGGCCCGACTACACCACACCACAACACAACACAGTATAACACACTACATCACACAACACACCTCACAACACACTATACCACACCCCACAACACAACACACACAACACAGCGCACATAACACAACACAGTATAACGCACTACATCACACAACACACTATACCACACCCCACAACACAACACACACAACACAGTATAACGAACTACATCACACAACACACCTCACAACGCACTATACCACACCCGACAACACAACACACACAACATAGCGCACACAACACAACACAGTATAACGCACTACATTACACAACACACCTCACAACGCACTATACCACACCCCACAACACAACACACACAACATAGCGCACACAACACAACACAGTATAACGCACTACATTACACAACACACCTCACAACACACTATACCACACCCCACAACACAACACACACAACATAGCGCACACAACACAACACAGTATAACGCACTACATCACACAACACACCTCACAACACACTATACCACACCCCACAACACAACACACACAACAAAGCGCACACAACACAACACAGTATAACGCACTACATTACACAACCCACCTCACAACACACTATACCACACCCCACAACACAACACACACAACATAGCGCACACAACACAACACAGTATAACGCACTACATTACACAACACACCTCACAACGCACTATACCACACCCCACAACACAACACACACAACACAGCGCACACAACACAATACAGTATCACACACTACATCACACAACACACCTCACAACACACTATGCCACACCACACAACACAACACACACAACATAGCGCACACAACACAACACAGTATAACACACTACATCACACAACACACCTCACAACACACTATACAACACCCCACAGCACACACAACACAGCACACATAACACAACACAGTATAACACACTACATCACACAACACACCTCACAACACACTATACAACACCCGACAGCACACACAACACAGCACACACAACAAAACACAGTATAACGTACTACATTACACAACACACCTCACAACGCACTATACCACAACCCACAGCACACACAACACAACACACACAACACAACACACTATAACACACTACATTACACAACACACCTCGGAACACACTATACCACACCCAACAGCACACACAACACAACACAGTATAACACACTACATCACACAACACAGTATAACACACTACATCACACAACACACCTCACAAAGCACTATACCACACCCCACATCACACACAACACAACATATCACAGTATAACACACTACATCACACAACACACCTCACAACGCACTATACCACACCCCACAGCACACACAACACAGCACACACAACACAACACAGTATAACACACTACATCACACAACACACCTCACAACGCACTATTCCACAACCCACAGCACACAAAACACAGCACACACAACGCAACACAGTAAAACACACTACATAACACACTACATCACACAACACACCTCACAACAAACTATACCACAACCCACAGCACAACACAACACAGCACACACAACACAACACAGTATAACACACTACATTACACAACACACCTCGCAACACACTATACCACACCCAACAGCACACACAACACAACACAGTATAACACACTACATCACACAACACACCTCACAACGCACTATACCACACCCCACATCACACACAACACAACATATCACAGTATAACACACTACATCACACAACACACCTCACAACGCACTATACCACACCCCACAGCACACACAACACAGCACACACAACACAACACAGTATAACACACTACATCACACAACACACCTCACAACGGACTATACCACAACCCACAGCACACACAACACAGCACACACAACGCAACACAGTATAACACACTACATCACACCTCACACCTCACAACACACTATACCACACCCCACAGCACACACAACACAACACACACAGTATAACACACTACATCACACAACACACCTCACAACACACTATACCACACCCCACAGCACACACAACACAGCTTACACAACACAACACAGTATAACACACTACATCACACAACACACCTCACAACACACTATACCACACCCCACAGCACACACAACACAGCACACACAACACAACACAACACAGTATGACACACTACATCACACAACACACCTCACAACACACTATACCACACCCCACAGCACACACAACACAGCACACACAACACAACACAACACAGTATGACACACTACATCACACAACACACCTCACAACACACTATACCACACCCCACAGCACACACAACACAGCACACACAACACAACACAGTATAACACACTACATCACACAACACACCTCACAACACACTATACAACACCCCACAGCACACACAACACAGCACACACAACACAACACAACACAACACATTATAACACACTACATCACACAACACACCTCACAACACACTATACCACACCACACAGCACAAACAACACAGCACACACAACACAACACAGTATAACACACTACATCACACAACACACCTCACAACACACTATGCCACACCCCACAACACACACAACACAGCGCACACAACACAACACAGTATAACACACTACATCACACAACACACTTCACAACACACTATACCACACCCCACAGCACACACAACACAGCACACACAACACAACACAGTATAACACACTACATCACACAACACACCTCACAACACACTATACAACACTCCACAGCACACACAACACAGCACACACAACACATCACACTACACCTCATCACAGACAACATACAAAACATAGATACATACATACATACATACATACATAGATACATAGGTATGTAGATATAAACATTCATACATACATTCAAACAAGCACATACTACACTAATCTGTAACGCGGCGTTAAATCCAAATTCACGTCACCTCACCTTTTTGAGCTGGAATATCTTGTGTTTCAATCGGTTAGCTATTCTTGACTACTACTACAGGGCAGTGTCGGAGCACCTGTGTTGGACAAGAGAGCGGAGGACAATTTCCCCTGTGCGGAGACTGCACCAGGTACATTGTGTGTGTCAACCAGATTGGAATCATCATGCAGTGCCCCTTTGACTGGGAGTGGAGCGTGGCGACAATGGAGTGTACCTCTCCGCAATTGGCTCAGTGCAGGTATATTACTAACTAATTAACATAACGCCACCTGTCAGTCAAACAACATGATTGATCAATCAGAAAATGCGAAGCGATAAGTGTCTGCCAGACACCTTCAAGCTGTTTGACAATGTATCAAAATAGTATTAACATACTGGTTGGCGGCAAAAAAACCATCATCTTCACTACTCCCCTGTGTAATCCAAAAGAGTTCAGTGTAATTCAAACAATCCAAGTGAAACAGATTTTTCAAATATTAACAATTATGGCACTATCGGTATTTTTTACATACTAAAGTGATCTTTCATTTAGCTATAAAGGTTATTCAGCTCTTGTTCTTTCTTTGTGAAAATCCCTGTTGAAGGATATATCCTAGGTTAGACTATGTAACGTGGTCAGACGGTCCTGTTGAATCCCAGGAAAAATACTTACGATTGCCTAGAATGACTGGAGAAGATAAAGATATAAATATTATATTCAAAGTGGTATCATTCTTAACATATCACCCACAGACTTGGCTGTAACAGTATTATTGACAGTGGCCAGACCCCGCTAACGAAGATGATTCCAGTTCAAATCACTCTTGGCAACGCCTATGAGTATTTAAGAGGCATAAATATTTATCAAGGATTAGTTATTCCTCAAATTAGACAACTCACCCGTCGTACGACTCTATTAACGTGGTTGCAAAAGAGGTAAATATGACCAAAAAGATAAAGAAATAGGCCCTCTTGAAGTGAGACTTTATTATATCATCTACGTTTTACCCTTGTTTAACGGTTCTCTTTCCCGAACAACCAGTGCTACAACCAGTCCTACAACCAGTCCTACAACCAGCCCTACAACAAGTCATACAACCACTCCTACAACCAGCCCTACAACCAGTCCTACAACAAGTCCTACAGCCACTCCTACAACCAGTCCTACAACCAGTCCTACAACCAGCCCTACAACCAGTCCTACAACCAGTCCTACAACTATGACGATGTGTGTAACCAGCTGTGTTGGAGTTGTGAGTGGCACCTATCAGTCGTGTGATACGTGCACTGGTTTCATAATATGCGTTGCAAATGGTCTCTTTAACATTCCCTGTGGGACAGCAGACGGACAAGTTCTTGTATGGGATGATAAACTGAAGACATGCGCGTCTAGGTCTAGTACATGTTCAGAAACCAGTCCTACAACCAGACCTACAACCAACCCTACAACCAGTCCAACAACAAGTCCTACAGCCACTCCTACAACCAACCCTACAACCAGCCCTACAACCAGCCCTACAACCAGCCCTACAACCAGTCCTACAACCAGTCCAACAACAAGTCCTACAACCAGTCCTACAACCAGTCCTACAACCAGCCCTACAACCAGTCATACAACCACTCCTACAACTATGACGATGTGTGTAACCAGCTGTGTTGGAGTTGTGAGTGGCACCTATCAGTCGTGTGATACGTGCACTGGTTTCATAATATGCGTTGCAAATGGTCTCTTTAACATTCCCTGTGGGACTGCTGACGGACAAGTTCTTGTATGGGATAATCAATTGAAGAGGTGCGCGTCTACGTCAACAACATGTACAGAAACCACTCCTACAACCAGTCCTATAACCACTCCTACAACCAGCCCTACAACCAGTCCTACAACCAGCCCTACAATCAGTCCTACAACTAGCCATACAACCAGTCCCACAATCAGTCCTACAACCAGTCCTACCACCAGCCCTACAATCAGCCCTACCACCAGCCCTACAACCACTCCTACAACTATGATGATGTGTGTAACCAGATGTGTTGGAGTTGTGAGTGGCACCTATCAGTCGTGTGATACGTGCACTGGTTTCATAATCTGCAATGCAAATGGTCTCTTTAACATTCCCTGTGGGACTGCTGACGGACAAATTCTTGTATGGGATGATAAATTGAAGAGGTGCTCGTCTACGTCAACTACATGTACAGAAACCACTCCTACAACCAGTCCTGCAACCAGCCCTACAACCAGCCCTACAACCAGTCCTACAACCAGTCCTGCAACCAGCCCTACAACCAGCCCTACAACCAGCCCTACAACCAGCCTTACTACTAGTCCTACAACCAGCCCTACAACCAGCCCTACAACCAAACCCACAACCAGCCCTACAACCAACCCTACAACCACTCCTACAACCAACCCTACAACAAGTCCTACAACAAGTCCTACAACAAGTCCTACAACAAGCCCTACAACCAGTCCTACTACCAGTCCTACAACCAGCCCTACAACCAGTCCCACAACCACTCCTACAACTCAGACGATGTGTGTAACCAGCTGTGTTGGAGTTGTGAGTGGCACCTATCAGTCGTGTGATACGTGCACTGGTTTCATAATATGCATTGCAAATATTCTCTTTAACAATCCCTGTCGGACAGTCAACGGACAAGTTCTTGTATGGGATGATAAACTGAAGACATGCGAACTTACGTCAAACACTTGTACAGAAACCAGCCCAACAACCAGACCTACAACCAGCCCCACAACCAGTCCTACAACCAGCCCTACAACCAGTCCTACAACCAGCCCTACAACCAGTCCTACAACCAGCCCTACAATCAGTCCTACAACTAGCCATACAACCAGTCCCACAATCAGTCCTACAACCAGTCCTACCACCAGCCCTACAATCAGCCCTACCACCAGCCCTACAACCAGTCCTACAACCAGCCCTACAACCAGTCCTACAACCAGCCCTACAATCAGTCCTACAACTAGCCATACAACCAGTCCCACAATCAGTCCTACAACCAGTCCTACCACCAGCCCTACAATCAGCCCTACCACCAGCCCTACAACCAGTCCTACAACTAGCCCCACAGCCAGTCCTACAACCAGTCCTACAACCAGTCCTACAACAAGTCCTACAACTAGTCCTACAACCAGTCCTACAACCAGCCCTACAACCAGTCCAACAACCAGTCCTACAACTATGACGATGTGTGTAACCAGCTGTGTTGGAGTTGTGAGTGGCACCTATCAGTCGTGTGATACGTGCACTGGTTTCATAATCTGCAATGCAAATGGTCTCTTTAACATTCCCTGTGGGACTGCTGACGGACAACTTCTTGTATGGGATGATAAATTGAAGAGGTGCTCGTCTACGTCAACTACATGTTCAGAAACCACTCCTACAACCAGTCCTGCAACCAGCCCTACAACCAGCCCTACAACCAGCCCTACAACCAGCCTTACTACTAGTCCTACAACCAGCCCTACAACCAGCCCTACAACCAGCCTTACTACTAGTCCTACAACCAGCCCTACAACCAGCCCTACAACCAAACCCACAACCAGCCCTACAACCAACCCTACAACCACTCCTACAACCAACCCTACAACAAGTCCTACAACAAGTCCTACAACAAGTCCTACAACAAGCCCTACAACCAGCCCTACTACCAGTCCTACAACCAGCCCTACAACCAGTCCTACAACCACTCCTACAACTCAGACGATGTGTGTAACCAGCTGTGTTGGAGTTGTGAGTGGCACCTATCAGTCGTGTGATACGTGCACTGGTTTCATAATATGCATTGCAAATATTCTCTTTAACAATCCCTGTCGGACAGTCAACGGACAAGTTCTTGTATGGGATGATAAACTGAAGACATGCGAACTTACGTCAAACACTTGTACAGAAACCAGCCCAACAACCAGACCTACAACCAGCCCCACAACCAGTCCTACAACCAGCCCTACAACCAGTCCTACAACCAGCCCTACAACCAGTCCTACAACCAGCCCTACAATCAGTCCTACAACTAGCCATACAACCAGTCCCACAATCAGTCCTACAACCAGTCCTACCACCAGCCCTACAATCAGCCCTACCACCAGCCCTACAACCAGTCCTACAACTAGCCCCACAGCCAGTCCTACAACCAGTCCTACAACCAGTCCTACAACAAGTCCTACAACTAGTCCTACAACCAGTCCTACAACCAGCCCTACAACCAGTCCAACAACCAGTCCTACAACCACTCCTACAACTATGACGATGTGTGTAACCAGCTGTGTTGGAGTTGTGAGTGGCACCTATCAGTCGTGTGATACGTGTACTGGTTTCATAATATGCATTGCAAATGTTCTCTATAACAATCCGTGTCCGACAGTTGACGGACAAGTTCTTGTATGGGATGATAAACTGAAGACATGCGAACTTACGTCAAACACTTGTACAGAAACCAGCCCAACAACCAGACCTACAACCAGTCCAACAACCAGTCCTACAACCAGTCCTACAACCAGCCCTACAACCAGCCCTACAACCAGTCCAACAACCAGTCCTACAACCAGTCCTACAACCAGCCCTACAACCAGTCCTACAACCAGCCCTACAACCAGCCTTACAACCAGCCCTACAACCAGCCCTACAACCAGCCCTACAACAAGTCCTACAACCAGCCCTACAACCAGTCCTACAACCAGCCCTACAACCAGCCTTACAACCAGCCCTACAACCAGCCCTACAACCAGTCCTACAACCAGTCCTACAACCAGTCCTACAACCAGTCCAACAACCAGTCCTACCACCAGCCCTACAACCAGTCCTACAACCAGTCCTACAACAAGTCCTACAACCAGTCCCACAACCAGCCCTACAACCAGCCCTACAACCAGTCCTACAACTAGCCCTACAACCAGTCCAACAACCAGTCCTACAACCACTCCTACAACTATGACGATGTGTGTTACCAGCTGTGTTGGAGTTGTGAGTGGCACCTATCAGTCGTGTGATACGTGTACTGGTTTCATAATATGCATTGCAAATGTTCTCTTTAACAATCCGTGTCCGACAGTTGACGGACAAGTTCTTGTATGGGATGATAAACTGAAGACATGCGAACTTACGTCAAGCACTTGTACAGAAACCAGCCCAACAACCAGACCTACAACCAGCCCCACAACCAGTCCTACAACCAGCCCTACAACCAGCCCTACAACCAGCCCTACAACAAGCCCTACAACCAGCCCTACAACCAGCCCAACAACCAGCCCTACAACAAGCCCTTCAACAAGCCCTACAACCAGTCCAACAACCAGCCCTACAACCAGTTTTACAACCAGCCCTACAACCAGCCCTACAACCAGCCCTACAACCAGTGCAACAACCAGTCCTATAACCAGCCCTACAACCAGCCCTACAACCAGCCCTGCGACCAGTCCAACAACGAGTCTTACAACTAGTCCTACAACCAGTCCTACAACCAGCTCTACCACTAGTCCTACCACCAGCCCTACAACCAGCCCTACAACCAGCCCTACAACAAGCCCTACAACCAGTCCTACAACCAGCCCTACAACCAGCCCTACAACAAGCCCTACAACAAGCCCTACAACCAGTCCAACAACCAACCCTACAACCAGTCCTACAACCAGCCCTACAACCAGCCCTACAACCAGCCCTACAACAAGCCCTACAACCAGTCCAACAACCAACCCTACAACCAGTCCTACAACCAGCCCTACAACCAGCCCTACAACCAGCCCTACAACCAGCCCTACGACCAGTCCAACAACGAGTCTTACAACCAGTCCTACAACCAGCCCTACAACCAGCCCTACCACTAGCCCTACAACCAGTCCTACAACCAGCCTTACAACCAGTCCTACAACCAGTCCTACAACAAGTCCTACAACAAGCCCTACAACCAGCCCTACAACCAGTCCTACAACCAGCCCTATAACAAGCCCTACAACCAGTCCTACAACCAGTCCTACAACAAGTCCTACAACAAGTCCTACAATCAGTCCTACAACCAGTCCTACAACCAGTCCAACAACAAGCCCTACAACCAGCCCTACAACCAGTCCTACAACCAGTCCTACAACAAGTCCTACAACCAGCCCTACAACAAGCCCTACAACCAGCCCCACAACCAGTCCTACAACCAGTCCTACAACCAGTCCTACAACAAGCCCTACAACAAGCCCTACAACCAGCCCTACAACCAGTCCTACAACCAGCCCTACAACAAGCCCTACAACCAGCCCCACAACCAGTCCCACAACCAGTCCTACAACCAGCCCTACAACAAGCCCTACAACCAGCCCTACAACCAGCCCCACAACCAGCCCTACAACCAGCCCTACAACCAGTCCTACCACTAGCCCTACAACCAGCCCTACAACCAGCCCTACAACAGCAGCTACCCAAGGTATGTTTACGTCATTAGTTTGAACAATGGGCCGACCAATGGGCCAAACAATGGGCCGAACAACAATGTCGATCATAGATGACATAATCGGCATTGAGTTGTTCCAACAGACTAAAATTGACCGAATTATGCCATGTGTATTATCGGGACCTATACCAGCATACCTCAATCCCCTCTCTATAACGTCAATATCATCTGCAGATCTGTCATCAGGACCTATACCAGCATACCTCAATCCCCTCTCTATAACGTCAATATCATCTGCAGATCTGTCATCAGGACCTATACCAGCATACCTCAATCCCCTCTCTATAACGTCAATATCATCTGCAGATCTGTCATCAGGACCTATACCAGCATACCTCAATCCCCTCTCACTAAGGTCAATATCATCTGCAGATCTGTCATCAGGACCTATACCAGCATACCTCAATCCCCTCTCACTAAGGTCAATATCATCTGCAGATCTGTCATCAAGACCTATACCAGCATACCTCAATCCCCTCTCAATAAGGTCAATATCATCTACAGATCTGTCATCAGGACCTATACCAGCATACCTCAATCCCCTCTCACTAAGGTCAATATCATCTACAGATCTGTCATCAGGACTGTAGGGAATGTGAATGGTGTGTGTGAGAGAGAGGGTGTGTGTGTGAATTTGTGTGTGTTTGTGTGTGCGTTTGTGTGTGTGATTATGTGTGTGTGTGATGGTGTGTGTGTGTGTGTTTGTTTATGTTTGATGGTGTGTGTGTGTGTGATATGGTGTGTGTGATATGGTGTGTGTGTGCGTGTGTGTGTGTGTGTGTGTGTGTGTGCGTGCGTGCGTGCGTGCGTGCGTGTGTGTGTGTGTGTGTGTGTGTGTGTGTGTGTGTGTGTGTGTGTGTGTGTGTGTGTGTGTGTGTGTGTGTGTGTGTGTGTGTGTGTGTGTGTGTGTGTGTGTGTGTGCGTGCGTGCGTGTGTGTGTGTGCGTGTGTGTGCGCTTGTATTTATGGAGGGGCGGGGCCACTTTCCTCATCTAATTTTAGTTGATGAGTGTGTGTGTGAGAGTGTGAATGTGTGTGAGTGTGTGTTTGTGTGTGATTTTGCTTGTCTGTGTAAGTGATTTCGTGTGTGTTGTGTGTGGTTTTGTGTGTGAGAGTGTGTGTGAGTTTATGTGTGTGTGTGTGTTAGTGTGTGTTTGTGTCTTTTTCTTTGTGTCTTTTTCTTTGTGATTGTGTGTTAGTCTGTGTGAGGTATAGGTATGGGTTTGTGTATGTTTGTTTTCGTGTTTGTGTGTGTGTGATTTCCTGTGTTCACCTGTGTGTATGTGTATTTGTGATTTTGTGTGTGTGAGTGTGTGTGATGTTGGCGTGATTTAGTGAGAGTGTGTGTGAGATTTTCTTTGAGTGAGTGTGTGTGTATAAATGTGTGTGAATGAGTTTGTGTGTTTGTGATTTTGTGTGTGTGAATTGTGTGTATGAGTAAGTGTGTCTGTGTGTTTGTATGTAATGTTTGTGTGTTTGTTTATGAGCTTTTGTTTGTGTGTGTATGCTTATGTCTGTTTGTGAGTGTAAAAGTATATTTAAGAGTGGATGTTTTTGTGTGTGTGTGTTTGTGTGTTTATGTTTGTGTGATGGTGTGTGTTTGAGAGAATGTGTGTGTATGCTTATATTAATGGAGGGGCGGGGCCACTTTCCCATCTAATTTTAGTTGGATAGTCAGTGTGTGTGTATGTGTGTGTGTTTGTGTGTGAATGTGTGTGTGTGAGTGTGTTTGTAAGTGAGTGTGTGTGTAAGTGAGTGTGTGTGTCATTTGAATGTGTGTTTGTGTTGTGGTGCTTAATTGTGTGGGTTATTTTGTACGTGAGTTTGTGTTGTGGTGCTTTACTTGTGTGTCTTATCTTATACGTGTATTTGTGTAGTGGTGCTTTAATTGTGTGTGTTATTTTATACGTGTATTTGTGTAGTGGTGCTTTACTTGTGTGTGTTATTTTAAACGTGTGTTTGTGTTGTGGTGCTTTACTTGTGTGTGTTATTTTATGCGTGTATTTGTGTTGTGGTGCTTTACTTGTGTGTGTTATTTTATACGTGTATTTGTGTAGGGGTGCTTAATTGTGTGTGTTATTTTATACGTGTATTTCTGTAGTGGTGCTTACTTGTGTGTGTTATTTTATACGTGTATATCTGTAGTGGTGCTTAATTGTGTGTGTTATTTCATACGTGTGTTTGTGTTGTGGTGCTTTACTTGTGTGTGTTATTTTGTATGTGTGTTTGTGTTGTGGTGCTTTACTTGTGTGTGTTATCTTATACGTGTATTTGTGTAGTGGTGCTTTAATTGTGTGTGTTATTTTATACGTGTATTTGTGTAGTGGTGCTTTACTTGTGTGTGTTATTTTATACGTGTGTTTGTGTTTTGGTGCTTTACTTGTGTGTGTTATTTTATACGTGTATTTGTGTAGTGGTGCTTAATTGTGTGTGTTATTTTGTACGTGTGTTTGTGTTGTGGTGCTTAACTTGTGTGTGTTATTTTGTACGTGTGTTTGTGTTGTGGTGCTTTAATTGTGTGTGTTATTTTATACGTGTATTTGTGTAGTGGTGCTTAATTGTGTGTGTTATTTTATACGTGTATTTGTGTTGTGGTGCTTAATTGTGTGTGTGTTATTTTGTACGTGTGTTTGTGTTGTGGTGCTTTAATTGTGTGTGTTATTTTATACGTGTATTTGTGTAGTGGTGCTTAATTGTGTGTGTTATTTTATACGTGTATTTGTGTAGTTGTGCTTAATTGTGTGTGTTATTTTGTACGTGTGTTTGTGTTGTGGTGCTTTACTTGTGTGTGTTATTTTATACGTGTATTTGTGTAGTGGTGCTTTACTTGTGTGTGTTATTTTGTATGTGTGTTGTGTTGCTTTACTTAAGTGTACAGTATTGAGATCTAAGATGTTTTCATTCCAGTTGGGGACGTCAATACAATCGTAGATCATGTTTCAGATTGCAACACTGCCAAAAAGGATGGCGTGTTCATCCTTGATACTTCTAGCAGCAGCATCGCGAGTGATTTCGTGGTTTTTAAAGTTCTGGTGTAATTTTGTGTGTGAGTTGTGTGAATGAGTGTGTGAATATGTTTGTGTTTGTGTGCGTGATTTTGTGTGTGTTTGTGTGTGTGTGTGATTTTATGTGTGTGATTGTGAATGAGTTTTTGTGCGTGTGTTTATGTGTGTTTGTTTGTGTGTGAGGTATGAGTTTGTGTTTGTGTGCGTGTTTGTTTGTGTGATTGCGTGTGTGCGTGTTTGTATGTATGTGTCATTTCGTGTTTTTTTATGTGAGTGAGTGTATGTGAGTTTGCGTGTGTGTGTTTGTTTGTGTGAGTGTGTGTGTTTCTGTGTGTATGTGATTGTATGTGTGTTTGTGTAAGTATTTGTTTGGGATATTGTATGTGTGTTTGTTTGTGTGAGTGTTTGTGTTTGTGTGTCTGTGTGATTTTACGTGTGTTTGTGCATGTGTTTGTTTGTGATATTGTGTGTCTGTGTGATTTTACGTGTGCGTTTGTGTGTGTGAGGTATGAGTATGTGTTTGTGTGTATGTTTGTTTGTCTGGGCGGTCGGGTAGCCTAGTGGTTAAAGCGTTCGCTCGTCACGCCGACGACCCGGGCGTAAAACCTCACTCACTCACTGTTTGTTTATGTGATTGCATGTGTGCGTGTTTGTATGTTTGTGTGCGTTTGTGTGTGTTTGTGTGAGTGTGTGTGTTTCTGTGTGTGAGCGTGTGTATCATTTTATACATGTATTTGTGTAGTGGTGGTTACTTAAGTGTACAGTATTGAGATCTAGGATGCTTTCATTCTATTTGGGGAAGTCACACTACAATCGTACATCATGTTTCAGATTGCAGCACTGCCAGAAAGGATGTCGTGTTCATCCTTGACATATCTACCAGCATCACCGCGAGTGATTTCGTGGTGTATAAGCAGTTTGTTGCTGATGTTGTAGATACGTTCACAATTCAAAACGCAAACGTTCGCGTTGGAGCAGTATCATTCTCCGACTCGGGCGATAAGGAGATAGAACTGGACGACTACCAAAGTAGCAAAAGCGACTTGAAAGATGCTATTTTGGATATCGACCGAGGAGACTCATCTCGAAACACAGCCGCCGCTCTCCTCGAGGCAAGAACAAACATATTCACGGAAGACGGGGACCGTGCCAATGCAGACAATGTAGCAATCTTGTTCACCGTCGGGATGTCGCGAAATGCTGTGGCAACACGTAATCGAGCTAATCAACTGAAAGGAATAGCTGAGGTGTTCGCCGTAGGAATAGGTCTTACAGACACTTCGGAGATTGAAGCCATTGCATCTACCCCCACTGCCGACCATGTGTTCACGGTTGATGATTTCTCATCTGTCTCCTCCCTTCTTGATGCACTTGCAATGACAACATGTAAGTCACCTCTTTGTCAATCAATCTTTATTTCGTACTCAAGAGGCCACAGGCCGTTAGTACATAATACAATTCAACATAATTAATCATTACAATAGAACATCTCTTTGTCATAGCCCAGTCAAGTGAAAATATCCAAAAGGAATTGGTACAGAAATGATTTATGTGATTTTAGATTGTGTATAGTATCCTCAAAAAGGACTAAAGAGTGCTCCTTACGAAATATGATGCTAAGTCCTATTTTGGGGGCAAAAGTTGACAAAAACAAATTTTCTTGGATTATATTTCATAAATGTTAAATTGAGGATCAAAATTGACTGTCTTTACCAATCCCTGAAGGGAAGGAAGGAACGATGAATCAGTTGGAAGCTAGACATTTTGTGTACAATAGCAAAAAAATCATTTTAGGGAAATTATATATATTTCATTTTAGGAAATACGTACAGCACATGTAGAAGATGACATTCTGTTTCGATCTTAACATATTTGTGCTGTATCTAGAAGGAAAGTATCCCCTTTCAATAGAAGTGACTTAATTGCCCGATGTGCAATTGTCATCAAATTCCAAATGCCAGAAGCATTGCTATGTTATAGTATGATCGTGTTGTAATTGTCGCTGTAACTGTTAGACAATTAGGGGCGGTCGGGTAGCTTAGTGGTTAAAGCGTTCGCTCGTCACGCCGACGACCCGTGTTCAATTCCTGACATGGGTAAGCTGAACAAACGAACATTCGGGAATGTCTAATATATGGTTGTGATTATACGGCAGTGCTCCCCAGCTACTGTGCAACGCCTCCTTCTTTCAAAACGTTTATCCCATGGAAGCGAGAGATGGACGATAATTTTGACTGAATCAGTTATTGGGCCGTAACTACACATGTGTTAACGTTTTCGAGGTTGCATAATTAGAAAAAAACATTCCGGCTGTCATTTTCATGATCTGGTAAGCGACGCTTTGATTGGTGGGATAAAAGGTCGTTCTGACGTGACCCGTAATGGGACGTCCTCAGATCTTTGTTTAGCCATAGCGAGAACTAGGATCTAATTTTAATGAGATTGGGGCTTTGCGAAATATAAACTTTGAATGAATGCATCTGCATGTGGTATCACAGTATGACTTGTAGGTCAGGATCATCACCAAGCTAGGATGTTCTATCAGTGACAGGGGCGGTCAGGTAGCCTAGTGGTTAAAGCCGTCGCTCGTCACGTCGAAGACCCAGGTTGGATTCCCGACATGGGTACAATGTATGAAGCCCATTAATGGTGTCCCCCGCCATGATAATGCTGGAATATTGCTAAAAGCGGCGTAAAACCATATTCACTCACTCACTCATTCACTCTCAGTTGCTGCCTGATGTACGCCAGTTTGGACAGGAAGGACATCAGCATGGGCAGATGGATTGATGGTGTAAATACCAGGTCCCTTAAGTTTTTCACTTAACTTGTGGATTAACATGTCAGCTCCGACGTTCATACAGTTTGGCCCTCACTCAATGAAGGTTCATACTCCAATGAACTCGCACAAAGTGAAAGTCATTTCTTAAGTGAATCTTTGTTATACCCTCGAAAAATGTTGGGGATCATGAAATCACTGCCAGAGCTAGAGTCGTTTCGGTGCCAAAACCAAAGGTCCCAACACTTTCGTAGACCATGCAACTCCTTCGTGCAAGTTTGAAGAGGGGTCATTCTTGAATTTCTCACTACATTTAAAGGTCGTCAAATCGCTTTGAGACATTGGTATTGTTGACTGTCAGTATTGACAGTGACACAGAAGGGTTACCTATGCTTTAATGCAGTATGCGCGATCAGATTTGGAACGCTTCATCGGCAACGCGACGAACGCCTTAGGGTTATTGGCATGCTTCAAACTGGTAAAACTCAGCGAGGGATGGCCAATATGTTCAATGTGTCTCAGTCTGTCATTTGCAGACTTTGAAACAGCTTTCTGCAGACACAACATGTTAATGATTGGCCCTGCACGTGGCGCAGTAGGTGAGCAATATAAATCCAGGATCGATCAATCAGAAACCGGGATTTTCCAAATCGCGCCCAAACACACACTCAAATCGCTGTTCACTTGTGCCAAGCCACATGAGTCGATGTTACTGACCAGAGTGTCGTTTAACAAAGCGATCCTAACGATGAGGTTATCGTAAGTCCCATACCTTAACATAGACTTACGGCAACCACAGAGCTAAGGTTGTTTTGCATCCAGACGACGCTGGGTTTTTAGAGCATAGAACCTTTGGGAATCGCCGATGGTCTCGTGTAATTGACTTTCTAGATAGGCGTGGGCGCGTCTGGAGGCCTTCCTAACGAACGTCTGGCGAACGTCAACGTCAGACAACATGACATATTTGGGGGTGGGTCTGTAATGGTATAGGGGATCACAATGACTTCCAGAACGCCACTGCATATTGTCCATGGAAGGGTCGCCGGACAGTACTACCGAGACAACAGAATGGCGCTATGCCGTTTGCGGGCTGTGCTAGTCCACGCTTTGCCATTCAAAACGATGATACTCGTGCCCATCGTGCACATATCGTAATTGACTACCTCCAGCAGCTCTCCATCATCAGAATGCAATGGCCAGTCATGAGTCTTGACCTTTCCCCCATAGAGCACGTCTGGCACAGCGCTAAGGCTGTATTGAATCAAGACGACGCTGGTCTTTAGAGCATAGAAACTTGGAGAAACATCAAAGGCCACCCGCTCGTTAGCTGGACTGGGCCAGGCACTGCAAGAGGAGTGGTCACTTAGAGACTGATTCGAACAATACCACGCCGTATGGACGAAATTTTTTTTACAACACATCATCGTCCTCTTTCTGGTTTGTTCATACTTACATTACAACAGAAACATCGTGTGTGTGTGTGTGTGTGTGTGTGTGTGTGTGCGTGTGCGTGCGTGCGTGCGTGCGTGCGTGCGTGTGTGTGTCACTCCTGCTGCAGTCGACTGGCTTTTGCTTACTCCCTTCCCTCAATGCCAACCATCTTTGGGAACCGTCCATTTGATTCCCCGGACTTGGGTGGTCTGAAAAGTGTATTGTTAATACAGATCTTCGGATATCGTTTCTGAGACCAAAAACGTATGTATTAAGCTTGTACACAATTCATCCTCCAACATAAATTCCAGCTAATATCCTCTGTGTGCCATTGCCTGTGTGTTCCAGGTGACCCTTGCTCGCCAGTCTGCACAGCCTCACAAAAATGCAATCGACCCACGAACACGTGTACAGCTCCAGCTCTGCAAGGTAAATTAAATTCCCTCTTTTGCAGTACGATGATTTTACGAAACGTATATTAACCATCATTTTAACAAACATGCATTTACCTTCATTTGAAAACATTTTAACCATCATTTTAAAAAACATGCATTTACCATCATTTGAAAACATTTTAACCATCATTTTAAAAAACATGCATTAACCTTCATTTCAACAAACATATATTAACCATCATTTTAATAAACATGCATTAAC